GTCACAAATGACCTGCGTGACCTGTGACGTTCACACAAACCCTTTGGTTAACTAAGAACTGGGCTTATTACTATATCCTCCCTTGTTGTAACAAAAATTCTCAATTTCATTTTGTTAGCTTATGTTGTTATCGCTCGGTCGCGCTTCCTTTCTTAGGCGTATCTTTCCCACTATCACTATATCTCCTTTTGTGTAAAAGATTTAAAGGGCGGACACTAGCCTCGCTAGGATTTTACTTCCATTACAACTATACCGTTACTGTATAACAAATCGTGCTTATCCACAGCGTATTTTTACGCAGATAGCCTAATTTAATTGTTATAATCTGAATTACACACCAAGCGCTACGGAAATTTTGAACGGACGCCATGACACCCGCGACCGTGCTGCCACCCCGGGAAAAAAGTTGCCGGTCGTATTTGACAATTTTATTTTGCACTGTTTACAGGACGAGGGCTACTCACAAAATGCAATGTATACTTTATACCCTTACAAATTGCTCAGTTTAACCGAACGATATTCATTTTAAGGGCAAATTGTATTCATATTATAACTGAAAACTATGTCGTTTATACCGATCATACAAGTTCGCTTTTGCTTTTAAATTAATAAATGCAAGAACAACCCCTCGGTCTGTCTCAGCGCCCTTGGGCTGTCGACCGAAAGTGGTTTTGCGCAACTTATCAGATCGTGCGCATTGAGTGGCGCCACCGTCGTTGTAATCAAACTAAAACATTAAAAAAAAAAAATTCTAATGGTGATTGAACCATGAAACTTTTTATGTAGCGTAATTATAACCTAAATTAGCTGAAAATAACCCTAGAACCTAGAGTAAACTCTCCCTTTAAAATTTTGGAAATGCTATTTTGAAACTTGGGATTTTAACGCCATAATATTATACTGTCGAATATAATTACATTAATTAATTAATAAGTAAATATTTAAATAATGACGGCAAAATCAGTAAATATAATGGACGTCACATCATTCTGAGAACATTTTTTTTAAATATTTCTAATGGTGATTGAACCATGAAACTTTTTATGTAGCGTAATTATAACCTAAATTAGCTGAAAATAACCCTTGAACCTAGAGTAAAGTCTCCCATTAAGATGTGTTGAAAACACGTTAGCACGTTATAGTTGAAAGCACAAATATTATATATGTTAGCTTTGTAATTAAAGCCAAGATGTAATGTTTCTACGATAACCAACGCATTGTTGCATGGCCGTCCGACGGGGGCGGGGCGTAGCAACTCCCTTTTTTTCCAGAGTTTACCCAGGGAATTAGTTATTTAGCCATTTGAATCATCACTCACCTAACCAACATTATTTCTGAAATATTGGGCATAAATTTTGTGCAAAAATGCTCCAAAAGAAGACTCAGATTGCACTAGAGAGCATCTAAAACCCCTGAGCTTCCAGGGCCATGATTAGCAGGGCCGTTAGGGACTTCGCGCGCTTATTTCACAGAAAATTGTAGTAGAAGTACTCCTGTCATACCACCTGCCTTTTTGACAAGCTTGGGACGGGCCTGTGTTGTGTTATTGGCTTGGATTATTGAATGTGCAATTGTCAATACTTGATGGTTGAAACGTTTATTTACAATTTGTAGACATATCACTCCTAACCTTCTGAATCCACTGCCGTCCTTGAAAGTGGATATATAACAGGAACATAAATACGATCAATTGCATGATTACAATTTTCTTTATTATGGTATTATCAGATCAACAGCAAAAATGCATCAAATTACTCTTAACTTGTAATTTTATCAAAAACACTACAATCTTGCAAACAGATGGTGCTATTTTATTAGTAGCATATTTCGGTCTGCAACATGAACGATTTGCTTACAATTGTACATGGATAAATTGAATAAATTTCCACCTGCTGACTTACTTTATGTAAAATATTTTGATAAGGAAACTCGATCGATCATGTGATGAACGTTTCAACTATGAACCTATATTAGTCGCAGCACAACACTAAAAAATAACGCCAAAATACATCATATTTCTTGAGTGATAATTAATAACATGCATGCCTATACCGTTGATTATTAATATTATTGATTTTTTTTATAACTCATATAATGGTTAACCTTTTAAAAAATCACACCCATAATTTACAAAATGATACAAACGTGATTTGATTGATCATTTGTTGCCACAGTGGTGTGGTCCTAAGATTTCATTGTTATCACAGCGCAGCACTATATTTTTCGTACGCTGTTATTTAACCACCCATTGATTATGCTGACATTATTTGTAAAGCTACAAACCCCTGGAAACCTGCTTTATATCGTACCACTGACAGGCAGCTGGATCATGCAACACCTTACTTTAAAACAAGAACTGCTCCAGGAAACGCTGCTGCGTGCATAAATATAGTTTTTTGGAATAGAAGAAAATTCAGGAGTCCTCACACAACGTCGCGTTCATTTATATACGTTCGTCACTCATCGCATTTGAAGCACAACTCAATTCTTAAAACTGCTTATAATCTGCTACGTACTAGCACTGCGATTCACAGCTCTACCCGTGTCGCCATTTGTGGCGGTGGCGGGTACCAGTGAAAAAAATACACGGGGGCTCGGGGCGATTTAGCCCCCGAAATGCCAAAAATAGCCCCCGAAATGCCGAAAAGAGCCCCCGTAAATTTGCATAGAGTTCAATGCAAACCAAATTTTAGAATGCTATTTTCATGCACGCGAGCTTGAAAAGTAGCCCCCGAAAAATAAATTTTATGATTCCTCGTCAAGTTTTATTGACCAGTATCCCGCTTTCGCGTCAAGCTTTGAGAATACCTTAGCCCCTGCGAAGTGGTGTGTGAGTTCTTCTACAGTAGGTATCTTGTGATATGGACGTTTTAGTGCTCGGTTGAGATATCTTGGGTCCAAACAGACATGCAGGGATCCGTCTTTCTTGTGCGAATAGGCCAAACTAGACACCCAGTCTGATGGTTCTGTCACCTTACGTATGACGTGGTTTTCTTCCATGTAATCCAGCTCTTTCTTTATTTCGTCTTTCAGTGCAACAGGGGTTTTTCGAGGTGCATCAACGTGCGCTGGCGCATTTGGATCGACTGTAATCTTGAATGTGCCTGGCATACATCCAATCCTGTCGAACTGTTCGGGGTACAGTCGCTTCAGGTCATGCACGTTCCCTATGGAAGATACGTCTGCTCTCGTAGATGATTTTGTTGTCACTCTATCAGCAATGTTTGTGCTGTTGATTGCACAGTGTAGTGTCACTAATTTTAGCCGTTCACTGGACTGTAGACCAATAACAGCTGGTCCTTCCACGTCCACTATGTAGAATCTGCAGTCGGTCCACTCAGAACCGTTATACCTGCATGGCATGTCAATAGTTCCACGGCACGGGATTGGTGTGCTGTTGTAAGCAGTTAGCCGTGTTCGTTTGGCTGCCATGGCAATTTCTTGTGCGGGGTAGCCTCCGTTGTGAGCATGTTGGGGTACATTCTGCGAAATACAGATAGTGGCAAGGTGTTTCCTTGAGCACCAGTATCTACCTTGAGTCTGAGCGTGTGTACGCCTGGACGGTTGCGTAGCTTGATGTCTAAACCTGCGAATGCTTCATCGCGTTGCATCTTATCTAGACACATGGTTGACACAGTTATGTTGCTGAATTGCAACCTATCGAATCGCTCACCCAGGTCCTCCGCACTGTCTTGTGCATTGTGGATAGCGTCTGCATGCATATGACTATGGTCATCTTTCTTGTAAGGAGTGTTGCTGCGAGCTCGGTATGGCTTTCCTCCCTTGTAATCAGACCTTGAGCGTCCACGGTCACCTGAGGGTCCCCGACCACGTGGTGGGGATTTGTGCCATCGTTTCTGTTTGCTCGCTTGACAAACGCGTGCCCAGTGGTTCATTCTGCCACAAGCTTTGCACTCTGCTCCATATGCTGGGCACTGTTCCCGTGGTTTGTACTGGTGTTTTAACCCACAATTACGGCATATGCCACTAGCACGTTTAGTGACACCGTGTATAGCAGCAGTTGGTACACTCATGTCCTTAAGCTGTTGTACATGTAAGTCTGCCGCTTCATATGCCCTGCCTAGTACTAGTGCGTCTTCTAGTTTATAGGTTTTGTCCTTGCTCAGTAACTCTTTTTGATATTCAGGTATAGGGGTGCTGGCAATGATCAATTCAACCAATCTGTCATTGAGCTCATTTCCCTCAAAGTCACATCTTATTGCCTGTAACTTACTTGTATTCACGAAGTCGTCAACGGATTCTCCTTGTTTTTGGCGGAAATGCATTAGTTTCAGGCGACTAATACGGTAGTTTTCAGACGGCTCTAATTGTTCGGCGAATCTGGCGAATATGCCGCTCGCTGATTTCCTCTCATCGTCTGTTAGCGTCAACGCGTTATAGCGGCGAAGACCCTCATCTCCTACTTGGAGCAGTATATAATTGACTTGGTCCTCGTCTTTTACCCTTTACCTTGAAATATATTTCAAGCCTTTGCTTGAAAAGCTTGAAGGCATCTGCCTGGTCAGGCAAAGCCCAGTCCATGCGCGGAACTTGCTCACGCGACATGCTTGTTTACTGCTCTACGCCGTCTACAGCATTTGTCACAACGCGCACCGTGCTGCCATCGCACGAGACGAGCTCAAGGCTGCGCGCACATCCGGGCACTACATGCCGATCGTTGGCATGGCGCGCTGTAGTGTAGCCACTCAGCCCATAAACGAGGCATCATGCACCGCGGGCTTTCACACATACATTCGACACTGACATGAATTGCCGTTGCTTTATGAGGCGTCTTGAGCACACATAGTTTCCGCTGCCACCATGACGAATGACGATGTCAACACATATGTATGATTATGAGCTTTTATTAGGATTTATGAGCGCTCGTATAATGCAGCTTTACGCCATTGTGACCGGCGAGTAAGAGAGTTAGGTATTACTGCGCACCGCATAACACCGCGCTACAATGTAGTCCTTCGCGTACACTGTGTACATACTGTTACAGATACCAAATAAGTTTTTGCCAAGCTGAAATAATCGGCTGAGCAAACGCATTAAAACGGCATGCTATATCTAAGAAAATAAATATCCTACGACTGCTTAAAATCTTGCAAATTAAAAAAAAATCTATAAAGGCACCAAATACACCAAAAGAAAGAGTTCAATTGTGCTAGTGCATGCCAAATCCAACTACATACCCACTTTAGGGACTCGTAATTTTCAAGCACAGCTTTGGAGTCAGTGAATTTTGGGGTGTTGCAGCGACTGTTACTGTCACCACTCACTACCCTATTCTCTATCCTAGTCTCAAGCCTTTTCACCTGGTTGCCTTCTACAAACAGTTTATGCGTCTCCACGGTTACCATGTGGTTAGATTCCGTCTGGTGGCTGTACTGAGACAGGTGCTCTTTGATCGAGTCGATGTTCTCCTCCTCAAAGCGCGCGCTTGGATTCTCCTTTATGTTCATCTGGCCAGGGAAGCCCAGCGACACGCCCTCCACGGGGCTGCCATCGCCGATGCTGTACCTATCGCCGTTGCCCAGCCTCCCGTGTAGCACACTGCCATTACTCTGCCACTCCGGCTGCTTCATCTCGGCGTCCGAGCCCCGGAACGACGCCAGAACCCGCTGCCTCGCATTGAAGAACTTCACCTTGTTGGCAACGCCCTTCGCCGAGCTCGATCCGCTCAGGCTGAGGTCTGACTCGGAGTCGGAGACGGAGAACGAGCTGCCGCCGCTGTGGTTGTTGTTCACGTGGCTCACCTGTGTCATGCTGCTGCAGTCTGATAGCCGGCTGTACGGCTGACTCTCCGCCTCACAGCACGGCCACGCCGCCGGCGCTTCCTCCGCCGCCAGCCGCAACCCTACCTTGTCACCACCGCGATTCACATCTCCCTCGTTCCTGGCGGACTTCGAAGGGGAGCTTTCGAGCGATAACTCGGAGGAGGATGAGGAGGAGGAGGCATCAACGGCGGGCCTGCTCTTCGCTGCGAGCTCCGCTATGATGTCCTGGAAGTTTGTCGCCTGTTGCTGCGTCATTGCGGCGCCCTCTGTCGTCGACAGCGGCACCGACGTCTGGCCGTCCTCGGCCGCTTCCTGAAAATACGAACAATTTACGGGAATTTGTCGTTGGGTTCAATTATTAATGTGGACGTGTAACTTGTTGAGGTTTCGCTAGGGATATCTAATTAGCCCATATTACTTAAACGATGGGTAGTCTAATCAATAAACCTAAGCACTTACAGCTTTTCATTACACCAAGTCTACGTCAATACTTGAGTCACTTTTTAATGTTCAGTGCACTGAAGTTTCAAGAATAACAATTTTTACTTATGCAGTTGCATTTGACATGCAAGTCCTGCATTTGTTTTATGTTGGCAGGGATCTACATTCATGCTAACGCATGATATGGCTCTTGTAACTGTGCCCTCATTTGCACATATGCAAATGTGCCCAGCCGATGCGAATATTCTTTCACCTTTACCACAGAATTACTACATGATATCAGTTGGAACAGAATTAATGGTGGAAATAAGCTATATCATACTACCAGGAGTGTACAATATAGAGATATTATATAGATATCTATATTATACACTGCTGATACTATTACGTTGCATAATCACTTTCCATTTTACATCACACAGATTGCCATTGCAGTTGACATTATGAAGAGTAACATTAGATGCATGCGTATGCATGTAAAAGCATTTAGTGATTGCTGCTTTACATCATGGTGAAGCGATGTTTATATCATCATAAAACTTGGAATCTGTAGTCTCAGTCCTGCTGCTCAATTCCCCTAATTGCTATCAACAATTTCGAGTTGCAACCTACATTTAATTTCAAAAAAACAATTTACTTGAGATACTACAATGTTTTAAATTCAATTACACATCAACTGTAAATCATAAACATCAACATATAATTTATATTTATCATGCTTTTATCAAGATTTTGATGAAACTATGTACTCGCTTCTAGGCGATACCACAGGCAAGGCAGCAAAAAGTGTCCTGCTAATCACCATGTATTTTGCAGCTGCTTTCACAAAGATGAAGGGCCAGCCTGAATCACTCGCATGGCTGCATGATTTAAGCTTCAGTAAAAGACGACCTCACCAATTTAGTACTACTTAGAATACCCCCTCCGCACACACCATCAACAGCTCGATAATGAAATTAGGGTGATTTGAGCTTTTCCCGCAGCGACTCGTCACCGGCTGACGAACAGCGATCCCACTAATTGCAAGCTTGTTAGAGAGCGAACAGAAACGATCCCTTAGTTTTAAGTACTAAGTTTAACATGCAGCTATAGAGCTTAGGATGGAACAAAGGCTTGAATAAAGGATTTTAACGATGTCACAGAAAAGTCACAGCATTCATTATAATGAGGGAGGCATCAGAATTTAGCCATAACGTTGTGCCTATCAGCAGGAAATACATTTTACATTCATGCAATAAAGTTATGCAATGTCAGAGTTAAATTAAAATTACTTTTCAACCTAATCCTTTGGACAAAAAATATTAGTAATACTCACACTGAACCATTAATCATTTCTATTCAGACTGGTTGACATTTGATTTTATATATGTTATCAGGAGTAGATAAAGGGAAGGAGTGTGACATGAATAAACAAGGGAAATTCGTCATTTAATAGCCTTATAATACCTACGATTTACTACGCGTAACTCATCCAACTTGAGCTCAAATCGGACACAGTACATTCGCTAGAGAGAAGGGCTACAGGTGGTAACTATCTGTAGTGGGAATGAAGGGCTACAGGTGGTATCTACCTGTAGAGAGAGAGAAGGGCTACAGGTGGTATCTATCTGTAGTGGGAGTGAAGGTCCACACGGGTAGAGCCACAGCAACGGCAGCAGCTGCGCTGTATCCTATTGGCAAGCAAGATCATTGCACGCTTTCTGTGATGTTTATCGTGAGGTACTACATTGGAGACTGAATATCGTACAGTACATCACTGAATTGTGACCAGTGCGCTGCAGCAGTGTTGAAAGCAGCGCTATCAGGTTGTTTGTTTGTATGCAATTCATGCAAATTGAAATTCCTATTCAAGGAGCACGAAGCTTCTTTTCTTCGTTGCACGCACGCACGCGTCGCACACACACGCGTGCACGCACACACAATAATATTCTAGCTGCTATATAACGCCGTGACATAGACGACGATGCAATGTGGTTTGTTCATGTGAGAAACAAAACACAAGCAATTTCTTTGCTTGTTTCCCATGGCACAAAAATCAAACAAGCATTTATGTACGTATAGAAATAAATAAATATATGTGCAGAAACACTGCGCACGCACACAAATATATAGATGATTGATAGATCGTCACAGTTGCTTATACAGTTGACTTATCTAATAGGTTTTCAGTTAAACATGTCAAAATCATCATTCCAAGTAAATTCGAACTATTGCAAACGAAGTAGTACCTCAGCCAGAATTAAAATCAGCATAAATATATATGCAGCAAATCACAATATATGAGGTACATATTTTGATTAAAGCTGAAACTATCATATTCCTGACATTTTGAGTAGTAATTAATATTCACGAAGAAGAGTAATCGTTATTATGAATGAGCACAGCTATAATAACAACAGAAAATGAATTACTGACCCAGATATATAGCAAAAACTATGAACTAGATCACACATACAACATCTTACAGAGGATAATAAATTTTGCGTATAATGAAGCTAAAAGGAAACCGTACACGATAATACTGGTGGCTCTGTGGTGCCTGCGCATGCACTGTGTGATCAACCTTTGTGATTGATTATACATGCATAATATGAATATATTAAGCTCCTCTCTCACTATACGCTGAGATCACAGTTTCGGGTTGCAAGTCTACGTTAGCATTGCTAGCCTGCTGTACTAGAAACTAAGCTAACTGTTATATAGATGCATTAACCATCACAGTCGCTATACACATTTCTCGCAAAGCAATTGTCCGCATCCTAGTGCAACATGAAACTATGCAATAAAATGAAAATAAAATTACGTCAACATTTGCTCGTCGAACACCGGCACGTTTGCACCGACAAAGCATCAATTCCATATCAGTGCATGGCTTCAGTATGCGATCATGGCGACATAACGCGACACTGATGGTGATATATTGAAATGCCTGACGACTGAAATATAGGTATTGACATGTATGTGTATACAGTTGTTTTACGATTGAGATGCCTCAGCAGGGCGACATTCAATAATTCTAACAAACAGACAATAGCTGTCTGACCTGATATTTTTTGTTTGATTAAAAAACAGGATAAGAATAATAAATCGATTAAGATGTTACCCTGCAAGAATCTACATTTTATACCATGATAGCCATGTTTTAAGACTGGGCAACCCACATCATTCACGGAGAACAGACTGCCCTGCTGACTATAGTACTTTACCACGCGTACTATAACGTGACTCCTTCACTGCACCGAGCATTCTCTGCCCACCCGGTCTTATTAGCAACTATAGAACGTCGCTTCTACACATAGCACCCTTGCTTACCATGCTAACACAAGGCTAGATGTTGGTGAGCCACTGTTTAAGAGCTGGCTTGACGTACGGCTTAGCGTAGCAGACGGGAAACACTCCAATGTTGCCGCTGACCGATCCCCGATACCAGTCCTCATTAACTGTGAAACAAACAGACACAATTTATAGCGACGTAATAGTCGGTTTTGCTAAACCCACTCTTGCTACTGAATAAGCTTAATCCAACCTTGGTGCAGGGAAGCTAGCTGACAGTTGCAATACAATGCATCACATGCGATAAATCACAGCCAAATGATTGTATAGTTGTGCTACCTTTTTCCAGCACCTTGATAACATCGCCTTCATTCAGCGGCAAATCACCATCGTCCTCTGCTTCAAAGTCATAAAGTGCGACCACGTAGTTGGGAAAATCCACTCCAGGTTTCTACACAAAGGAACAAAGTTAATGAATCTGGTGAGTATAAAAGGTTTTCACCGCAGAGCTCAGTAGAGCAGAACTCCTATTTAACATCATGTGCAGAGGTTCCAGAATGGGCTTCTATATTCTCCATATCCAAACTCCGAGTCCCCCATGCAGTTAAATGAAAAATGCTTACACATTCCAATTACTTAAAAGCATTCGGTTCAATTAAAACTATGACATGTACACAATAAACCATTCAAAAATATAAAACCGTTAATAACACTGTTGCATTACTGGGATTAGGAATTATTATTAACGCAATGTGTGAAACAGATCAAACATGTTAAATGCTTTTCAAAGCATTTCTGATGCTTATTATGTTTAACTTTACGTCACGCATTAGGTTAACAGACAAACAGCTAAAATAAAATGTGATTTTGTAACACAAGACATGCAAACATAATGGTTAATAAGAGAATGGCTAGAAGCCCGCAAGTAATACAGACAATTGCATACAGTAGACAGTGCATACACAGACAAATTTAAAATAGATTATAAGTTATATACTTGATACTGACGAATGACGATGTCAACACATATGTATGATTATGAGCTTTTATTAGGAGCGCTCGTATAATGCAGCTTTACGCCATTGTGACCGGCGAGTAAGAGAGTTAGGTATTACTGCGCACCGCATAACACCGCGCTACAATGTAGTCCTTCGCGTACACTGTGTACATACTGTTACATCCCCCTTACTAAAATAAGCATTATATATATGCATCTAATAATAGAATGCTAAACATACAGGTATTGCTGGACTGGCATACTGTGTAGAATAAACGAATTATTACAGTAGCGAAAGTTGTCCGTGTTACGATTATTGTAATTCTGGTAAATGGTGCACACAGCATTAGATCTTTTACCCATTGAACTGAATATGTCTACATTATTGCATTCACACAGTCTTGGCGCATTACATGTAAATTACACAATTGCATAATGAAACTGAATACATAAATGAACATTAGAGAACCTCTGGTTCTTGTCACACCCATGGATTATTATGCCATTTCGGCACGGTGTGTCACAAACACTATTACTTGCAATATAGCCTAATGATGTACAGTCATGACACAGGAATGTGAACAAAACAATCTTCCAGTGG